AGTGCCTGAATGTCTCAGCCCACCTGAATTCTCATAGTCTATTTTTCTTTTTCATATTTAGTGGTTTTTTTCTCCATTTGCTGTGCATCTTAAAAAGTTGTAGTCATTAAGAGAGAGAAATAAGACAAATCAGTGCTCCCATAACAGAATCCCAAGTTCTAACTACTGTTAATGTTCATCTACTAAGGGCTTTAGCAAAAAAAGACAACCTTTTTAGCTACCATCACCCACCCTGTTGTTCAAACAATATGTCACAGGAGAAAAGCCATATACTACCCACAACTAGATCTTGTTGCATTCATTTTCAAACTCAAAAAAAAAAAAAAATCTTTAAGGACACTTTAGTTCTGCCAATCCATATTGCAGAATGAGAATCAGTTTAATATTTTGATAGATGATGGCTCATTCTCACATCTGAAAAATAAATGACATTAACTCTGGGATTAAGTCATTGACAAGACAGAGGTAATCATATACATGTAGCATTATGCTAGTTTTATTACCCTGAATCTTTTAAGCCTGCACATATTCAACAATGAAGTAATGGAAAATGGAAAATCCAATTAGCCCACGCACATGCTTCTTGAATACCACTACTACTGCCAGCTCTGCATGTAGATGAACTGAACAATGCATTGATAGCTAATAAAAGAATTGTCATCTACAGCTTTGTAATCTTGCATTTAGACTTTTTGAAAAGATGAATTTACTTCATTTGCAGTAATGAAAACATTAGATGTTACATGGGTTAAAAAAATATCTTTTATGTAAAACTTTAGCAAATCTATCTCATTTATAAATAAGTTTTAACAGTGATAAAGCCTCAGGAAGGCTAGAACAAGAATGAGATTACTAGTTTTGAAGCAAGCAGAAGTAGAAAAAAATCCTAGAAAAACAACTGCATAAAGAAAATCAAAATATATTTGTTTAAACTATATACATTGACACTTCTTATATATTTGGGTTCAAATTTTGTGAGGTGTATAGAAGACATTCCTGAATTCAACAACACACTAATATCTCTTTGAAATACCTGACAGTCTGAATGCATCTTAGAGACTTTTTTCTCAGTCTGTAATGAACAAAACTGAGAGTTCCATAAACCTAAGCTACTCTGTGGACCCACAGCATCTCATTCTTTTCTTTGACTGTTGTGGCATCTGAGGTATCAGAGAACCAGCCAATGCAGAGACACTCCAGAGAACATGTTCAGGAAGTTCTTAGGAAACAGAGTCATTTTTCTGTGTGTATACACAAAGTCCAACATACCCAGAAACACCATGTTGCATCCAGTGTGCACACATCATCTGGCCTGAAAATCTCAGAGAAAACCACTGGATCCCCTGTAAAAAGTCAATTTTTCTGGATGTCATCTACTGAACTTTCTTGAATAGATTTGTTTAATAGGTAGTGTGGTATTTATAGTCACCACGCCTCAGATAATTAGGAAAATTGACATTACTACTTTCAAACGTGCTTTTAATTTAGTCTCAAAACAAGAGAGTATCAGCCAGAAGCCAAAAGAGATGTCTAAATCAACAGTGCCTGGCTGAGCTTGGCTTCACCAGTGCACTGTTTTGCAGGAACTTAGATGGAGAATGAAAGAGCACCACAGGACAGAGACATTTTCATTCAGATTTATTCTCGCTGAAATGAAAGTGAAGCGCAATTAAAGCTTGGAGTTTTTCCAAGGAGCTCTAAATAACAATACATCTTCCTTTTTTTTCAGATGTTTAAATAGCTTTCAAAGAAAACTTGATGAACATTTTAAATGCAATTTTTGGGTTTAAAGCCCAAGAGAAATGGCCATATTTCTCTTTAACTTAAATCCTAAAAATCCAAGGAAAATACATACTTTTTATTTAAGCAAACTTTTGTTTATCCTACATTAGAATGATCTAACTTTAGGCACTGAATGTTAAAAAAGTGTTTTCGCCTGATTCTTCCTCTGTAGTCAGTAAAGAAGGGGACTTGCACCCAGCCTAAAACTGCCCTACTTTTTGGAAAGGTCTGGCTCCCACTACCAAATACAGAGGGACTATTCCCAACACACAGTAGAATATGACATTGGAACTAAACTAGTCTACTTTCACACCTCTCCTGTTCATCTGACTGCTCTAGGACTTGTCTGGCCCGCAGTGGCCTGGTTCAGGTATCTAAAACTGCAGAAAATGAATCTTGCTCTCCAAAAATGAATTGCTTCCTGTCACCTTCAGCAGCCTGAACCAGCTCACGCTGCTGCAAGAGGGATCATGTCAAGCTCAGACCAAGGCTAACAGATGTCCAGGAAAACAGTTGGAGACAGAGGAGAGGAAAAAGGAAATATCAGATGTATTTAGCAGCTTAATTATGATATGAAACCAGTATGTTCTTAAGTGGTTTAATCCAATGATTCAATATGACCACTAAATGATGGACCCTATTTATGTGTGTGTGTTGTTTTCATCTGTGTATAGATATATTTGTCTTCTAGCTATCTATAAGGATAGATAAATATATTTATATAAACATGTTTTTAACCAGGCTTTTCAAGTTTATGGTATATATAACTGAAATCCTCTCTTCCAATTTTAAATCCTCCAAGGAGGCAGTGGTTCATCCTTCTCCTTAAAGGGATGCTTGCCACCTCTTTTGCTTCTTGAAGTGATCACCAGATCTCAGCTGAACCTTTAATAATTTCCATGAGACATTTGCTAATCATGGGATCTAGCACACACAACTGGCTGAAATAGCCCTCATGACATATATAGTTAAAATGAATGAATTAAAGATAATATCAATAATATTTTGCACTTTATCAAGTCTATCCTTCAAGGATCTCAAAGTACAAAGAAAATGTTAAATTATTAAGGCTCCTGAGATCATTAAAGATGCAAACAAACATGCTTGTCAGCTAAGACAATGACTGCTAATTAATTAATTAATTTACTGTGTTTGGAGAGAGCTTGTATAACTGATTTATAAACCTCCAAAAATAAAAGTTTGTACTTGACATCTCAATTAAAGTGCAGCCAGCAATTAATTTTGTAATTTATTTGCACAAAATGTTAAAAAGCAATAATGTTTGCCTCTTATGTATTATGCTACAGACCAAAATAGCCAAATTTAAAAAACAGCTGAAAGAAATGAATGCCTTCAACACCAGTTAATTGTTCCTCAATTAGTTTATAATGAATGAGACCTATTCTAAAAGAACCAAAAAGCATAGGAATGTAACTGGATACAACATACGTGTGTCCAGTATATACAATATAACACATGTGGCAGGTGCTTTATAAAGAGCAACACAGTCTCCCTCTGCCTCAGAGAGTTTATAATCTAAGGAAAAGCAACAACAGTATCTGCAGCTACATTTCAGTTATGTTGGAAACCATTTTTTTAAAAGCTTTTCAAGGGCCTTGGATTTTCATATCAAGCCTTGTCACAAAAAAAAACCCTAACACACAGACTTCACAATAAACACACACTGAAGTGATAAGCTTAAAAGGTTAAATGCTGACTTCACAGTTTTATTATTTACCTGAATTTAAACACTTGTTAAGCCTATTTTGCAAGGTTTGAGTGTATTTCACATATATTGAGCAGTTAAACATCTGCTGCACTATTAGTTGCAGTTGCCCTCATTGGTTATTTCATTGCTTTGGCTCTCTTCATCATTTGAATCACACTCATGATTTTTTAGATTCATATAGGGTGAATGAAGACATATCAAAGCTCATGCTATGGTCCTCAGGTTCGTTTACACTATGATTTCTATGGGACAGCATGTCCTAACTAGGAGGCAGCTATTCTATAATCCTTATACTCCCCTGCTCCCTAAGACTACAAAGGGTAATTAGGGTTTCTTTGATTTACTGCTGGCTAAGGTATTTCTCAGAAGCTTCCTTGTGTTGCTATTCAGTCTAAACCTAGACTTAGTGACTTAGATTCAGGAATAACTCCAAACTATTACTACACAGTTGTCTTGAGAGCACTCAGGGCCTCTTCTCACCTTTCTGCCACCAGAGAAAGGCAAAGGTTTAAGGAAATACAAAGGTGTCATGTCTGAAAAGGTCCTTAACTTTAAGGATGTCAGAACGTGAGAGAACTGAATGAAGACACTCTGCTTGTCCTCAAATGGTGCTGGGATCTTGCCTTCACAGAGCATCTCCTGACACTCAGAAAGGGGAAGGTAAATTTGGTACTCTATGGTCTGGATTTTTTAAGACTTCTGTCCAGAATGGACTTGTTTGTTCCTGGTTTACATTTCTCTAATGTCAAATCAGACTGGCTACTACATCAAGCCTTGGGGCACCCTGTCTGATACAGGCACTGCATTAGAGCACAAAATGCAGGGAGATCAGCTGTACTGGACACCAGTCCTCTCCTAATAGTCTCTATTCTCGTTATACTTCGTGACAATCTGGAACAGAAATTTAAAATGAATGATGAATGTTTTCAAGCTGCAGGTCTCTGGATAAAATTTCATGAGTGGCAGAGCTTGTACCTGTGTTCTCAATATGTTTTCTGTTCACCCAATTAATTTCTCATAATGAGCCTAGTCTACTCTTCATGAAAACATATTTATTTGAAATGTGAGATTCACTCCCTTAAACACTTTAAATAGATTTTTTTATTCTCATTGTCACTTGAAAAAATTAAACAGTGCCCCAGTCACAACAGGGAAGACAGTTTATAGTTTAAAGGAGAGAGAACACTTACATGGTTTTGTGATGGAGTCTTATATTGTGTTTAGCTTGTAGTCTTCACTATGGCCCATTTAGCTTTGAAAGAGCTCAGCTTCTGATCTCTATACCATTCCCACTACACACCTTGATCCTGTATCAACTCCTAGAAGGACCTTTTATCTTACTAACAGAATCTGGGATGAAAGGAGACACAGCTATGTAAAGTACCAAAGGCAACTTCCATGTGCTTACACTCTGCTAAATGTTGCTTAGCGACACATAGCTCTTCTCTTCAGCATAAAAACATGCCAAAATCATTCAAACAGAACTCACCTCAAAAGCTGCTAAAAGGAGGGGCAGGCAGCCCTTTGGGAGCACAGGGCTCTTCAAGCTCTCTTTGTACTTCTCTCTGTTTTCTTTTTCTTCAAGACAGTGTCCATGCTCCAAATGCACTTGAAAAGAGGTTCTCCATCTGCCATTCATCTAAAAAAAAACCCAAAACCAACAACAAAAGAAAAAATCTACCTTAAACAATTTTTCCATTCAGGCTTTTTTTGTGAAAAATGAGCAATATACATAAAAACCTTGAAGGGCCTGGTCTGAGACCATTTCTGACTAATATAAGACTTGAAGCAAGTATTCCTGTGCTAGAAGAAACCCAACACAGTCACAGTTACAACACGACAGCTCTGGTCCACTTTCACATCAGACTGGTAGGAAGACTGCAAACGGACTAACACAAGGCAATTGAATTTTGGGTGATGGTTTTGTTAGGAGTGCTTGCTGCCTGATGACTTTAAGGAGAAAACAAAATTTCTCTGACAGTGTGCCCTCCTGTAAGGAATGTCCATACCCACACAGCGTGTGCTGCAGTCACTTTGTAGATGACCCACTTGCAGGGAACAGGGGTACTCACTTCTAGGGCTTGGAGTATTAAATTTTTGCACTATTTTTGCTTGGACTGCTGCACTTACCACCATTGTGCCCACAGCTCCACATGTGGTTTTGGCAACCTGCTCTCTATAGTGATGTGATAACACAGTAGGGTCTGTCTCAGCCAGATTTTAAGGCACCCTGCAAATTAAGAAATTCTTAAGTAAAAAATTTATAAATCATTTTATTCCTTTAAAATACAATATCCAGCCTGTCAAGTTTCCAGATCTGCTCTGAAAACCATATCTGTATGTCAGTAAAAGATATTAGTCTAATGACATATTAATGTGGCATCAGCAGGAGATACCCAATTACAACATTTCATAAAGCTTGCTTCACCTCTTGCTGTGTATGGCTAATGAACAAGGACAGGAACTTTTGGAGAAAGGGAGAAAGAGATGATCATTTTCTGAATGTGGCCCTCAGCAATTGTGGTCATCTGTGAAATTACTTTTTCTATAAGCAGAAAATTCTCCCTTTGGATATTTAACATGGAAAATGGAAAATGCTTCCTTTGTGAATCAGGATAGCAGTATTTAAAATGAAATCATTAATAAAGAATCAATGATATATAGAGGCCCAACTTCATTCCAGGGAGCATGAATACTTTATTGACTGCTAGATTTTTTAAAGGAATGCTGGTTGTACTTTGCACATTATTCACAAAACCTTTTGCTCTGTAATTTGGATGATTGCTATGCAGAAATTGGAGAACAAAACTGAATGGTTTGAGAGTGTAATTTAATGCAGGCAGATACTTTCTCCTCCAAGTTACACACTCAAAGCTGCTCAGGTTAGCTGTCCAGTCACTGTCAACCCATCTCATGTCTCAGCAGAAAAAAGTCCATAGCAGAACAAAACTGTTTTGGTGAGAAGCCTCTCCAGTCTCTTGTTTGCTCTACTAAAAGAAGGCTGAGAGTAGCAAAGAGCTGGCACTGCCACTGAGCCAGGCAACAAAAGTTACTAATTTCTGAATTTTTTGCCTGATTCAGGGAGGGGAGGAAAAGAATTTAAAAAACCCATTCTTCAATATTATGGGTTTTTTTTTTTATATTAAGCACACCAGAGCTATGCAGAAAATCTACCCATTCTGTTACTTGCAAGTGCTTTCATATTGTGCAATTAGTACTTAATACGACACTTTTTCATACATTGGTGGAAGAGGGATTTGGTTTTATGTTTGCAGCCTCATCATCTGAGGGTCAGCTCTGGACTTTTTGGCTAATAGGATATTTGCTAAGAGAGGAAAAGGCAGTAGTTTCTGAAAAGAAATCAAGTGGTGTGGAGCCGTGCACGAATTTAACAGAACATATATTGATCTCACTTCTTCTTCCCATTCTAAGAGCAGGAATAAATGCACAGTATTCATGTAGCTTGCTGGTCTCAGTAAATGAGGCTCTGTTCTTGCCATAACCACTTTCACCATTTTCAATTCTTGTTGGCTACAGTAGAAGCCAGTTGAGGTTGGAACTGAAGACATATGCAGCATTTTGTTGGCATGTGGGCAGTAATCCAGAAAAATAAGAGCTTTTTTTCCATTGCCATATGTGTCTATTTTCTCTCCTAAACAGACCAGCCATCCCATTAGTCAAATGGTGCAAACAATTTTCTTGACAACAAAAAACGTATCATACATCAATCAAAAAGAAAGCCTCATGTGCCAACTACTGTCTCAGTCAAATGTGCCTTTTGCTTAACTTTATTTTACCTGATGTAACACTGGCACAAGTGTGCATGTATTCAAACAACCTGACTGATGAAGGGACCTGTACTACTGCTGTTATAGGTCCAGGAAATTTCCCCTGGACAAGAATAATTACACACAAGTAGGAGTGATGCTCCTCTGGCAACGCAGAATTGCTCTGCACTCAGCCTCCTCACGGCACAGCTATTCTACATAAACCATTTTTAAAGGTCTACAAATTAAACTTAAAGCTTACAGTGTAATTACTGAAGAGAAAGAAGACACAAAGGAAGGGAGGAAGGAATCTTTCTAAATGCCTGTAAACTCCTTAGGGGGCTAATCTTCAGAGAAGGGGGCATCAGAAATCAAATTTGATGAATAATTTTCTAGGTCCAGACAGCACTGAAATATCATCTGACACAGGTATCCAGTTTAGTCCCCACTTATGTTTAATGGTTAGATAATCACAGACCATAAGTTTAGTTTTAATAACAACTACAGCAGACATTTTATTAGCAGATTTTGCAGGCTACAGGGTTGTCATTTGTCATTATAGTGATTTTCTGGTTTAAATACTGCATCAATTTGTTTCTTGGTTGTTTTTTTTTTTTCCTGAGTTAATGAAGTTAGGTCTATCTCAGTGTTCTCTCTTCATTCTGATTCTCCAGTACTACAAGTAGATACATTGGTTATTTGGAAGTTTCCTGGCCTGAGCAAATCTTCTAACACATACAGTTCCTAACTTACAGGGCTTCTAGGAATCACCAGGGGTAGTATCCATTCCAGGGCAACTGAAGAATTGCTCAGATTTATTGGATTTTCTTAGGCCTTCGGTAAATCAAGGCAAATTCCCTGGCAAATATCCTGACCTATAAGTAGAGTATGAGGTGAAGAAAATCACCTGCCCCAAAACTGTCCACTGTGCTGTTTAGTACACACATTGCACCATGAGCTCTGGAAAAAAAAGAGGAGACATTTCCATAAAATGACACTGATACAAAGACCTCTTCTAGAGTGAGCCTCGGGTATAAAATATACAGTGCACTTGGCTTTTCTTGCATCCCCCATAGTTCTGCTGTCCTGATGAACAGTTCCATGGAGAGCCTTTCTTGTCCCTACACATCAAAGCCACAGGTGCTGCAGTGTGAGTGTGCTGGCAGATCCTACACAGCACAGAATTTTGCCTAAGCCAAAATTGTGCAGCTGGACCAGAAATGGTTGTGGCCAAGAAGGGCACAGCAATGAAGAGATCAGTGACATTTAAGATACGAAATGAGGTTTTAGGTAAGGTTTCATCTGGTCTGGTGGAAAGTGTCCCTGCTCATGGCAGGGGACTTGGAACTAAATTGTCTTTAAGATCCCTTCCAACACAAACCATTCTAGGGTTCTATGTTAAAACACTAAGCTTCTTTGTGGCTCTACTTTTTGAATAGCAGAGTGTTACTATTTGTAAAGCATTTTAAAGTGTATTAACCCAATGTTTGATGTATATGTTTATTACCATTGTGCCAGCAGCTGCTAGGCATTATTTTACAGGGTAAATTAGAAAACTACTACAAATACTAAAAAATAAACACCTCTTCCCTTTTGAAATTTCTCCTCAAACTCAGTATCAGTTCTGTACTGTAGCATTATGTTTCTCAATTTGAAGCTGTCTGAGAGCACAGGCAACTGGTTAAATTTAACTTGAATTTTAAACAGAATAACATTCATGTGTTTTCCAGCTGTTTGTTCCCTTTAGAAGAAAAGCACTGTGGGTGGATGCCGTATCAGGAAGGGAATGAAGTGGGCTGCTCCACACCAAGAACCAATACCAATTTGTGGGAAACTCTGGTATGACATCAATAGTATTTAATCATTTTCTGACATCCAAGATTTTGTTAAGTGGTTTTGTAAAGTAACTGTTAAAATTAATGCAGAAAAATATTTCAGAAGTTAACAGTGAATAGAGAATATTAGAGTGCACTTTAATTTTTACTGTTGTTTTGCAAATATTCTTACCAAAACCTGACAGGCATAAAAAAACCCCCCCTAAACTTGAAAGTGTCACAAAACATTTCAGCATTACGAATAGGTAATATTTTTAAAGTTTTACAATTCTAATGTAACTCTCAAATTTAGATTAGGGTCTTGTTTGTATTACAACCTTTAGCACTTTTGCCAGCAAAATATCTAATTCTCAGCCCCCAGAAAAGACTCATAAATGTTTGGTTTTGTTCTCTGTCTGGCCATAGAGAAGCCAATAGTATTAAGTTAATTCTTCCTACTAGTCTCCCTATTGCTTTAGCCTAAGTTTATGGGCACTAAAATTGCTGTAGTACAAATGCATGAAGACTGAGTCAACTAACTGAAAAGTTACCTGTTTCACAGCTTTGCTCAGATTAAATGGAAGTTATGTCCATGCACAGATAACTCGTGCTGGTCTGGGTCCTCAGGCAGAGATTGAAAACAACCTCTTAACTGCTTACATGTGTGTCTTTTACACTAACCTCTCAATTTGGGCAAAAAATAATATCTTGAGTAATTTGCTTGTTCAGAAATAAACATAGATGTGTTCTCAAATACTGATTTGAATGTCCAAAGCTCAGGGGCCAAAATCATTTTTGATTTAACTTCACTGAAGTTAAAAGGGGCATAAACAGTCATGCATTGGCCATATTCTTATAGTCAGGGTCTCCTTAACATTAATGAAGACATATCTTCACTGCATTACTTTGTAATACTAAATTTGTCTGCTTTCTTGTTTGGAATACAGTTAATACCACTTATAAGGACAGTAACAGTGGTCTGAATGTTTTGCAGCTGCTTTGCTCAAGCCAGTCCCAGAGTCTGACCATCAATTTAAACCACATTTTTATTATTACATAAGATGCTCATACTTGTTTATTATCTTATTATCCCAGCAGTTAGTAAACAAGATGTCATATGAATTATTAATAGTTCCCAAAAATCTCATAATTACAATCTCAATGCACTCCTCTGTCTGCTGATGCAAGCATCTGCAGGTCAAATAGTTGTCAGAAATTAGCTAATTATATCCTTTCCCATGAGGATTAATATCTTTAAATTTAATTAAAAGACCTTAACTCCAGTCCTGTACATTAAGGTCTATTTCCCATCGGATTTTCTTCTGTGTCACTTCCAGTGATAGGCTTCACATTCATATTAGCAGTAACTCTCATCTGTGGGTCTGCTTCTTGCCCAGCATTGGTTGAAGGATAATTTGATCAAATGAGTCTCTTTCTCACAGCCACATCTTGCTATTTCACTTCCATTTAAAAAAAAAAAAAGCTAATAAACAATCTGAACTTTAAAGTTCATTTCTGCAACTTGTGCCAGAATGTCTTACACTCCAGGTAGCAAGCAGAAGACTCACTCACGACATTTGGTTTGACATATTAAATGACTGTGGCAAAAGTTCCCCAAAATTATGAAAGGAGTGAAAATGTTAAGCAAA